CCGGCTGATCGCGGCCCCAGCTCAGTGGCCACAGAGCCATTGTGTGGCATGGGGGAAACGATGACCGGAGCGTTGTCGTTCTGGTCCAGCACAAAGATGTGGACGGTGACATTGGCGCTGAGTGGGGGGAAACCTGCATCCTGTGCTTGCACCTGGATCTGGAAGCTGCGGATCTGCTCATAATCGAGGGAGCGCAGGGCATACATGTGCCCACTGTCCGAGTTGATAGACACGTAGGTGCCCACAGGCATGCCATGGATGTGGCCGTCAGCAATGGAGTAGGATAGGTAGGCGTTTTGTTGGCAGTCGGGGTCCAATGCGCTGACGGAGCAGATGGAGGCACCTGGCGCATTGTTCTCCATCACGTAGACACTGTAGGAGGGCTGGAGGAAGTGTGGGGCGTTGTCGTTCACATCGGACACCGGGACAGTGAGGGTGCTATGGGTCAGCAGGGCAGGAGAGCCCATGTCCCGTGCTGTGATGCTTACATTGTACTCGGGCACAACCTCCCGGTCCAGCGCCTGCGTGGTGACCAGTGTGTAGTAATTGCGAAAGGAGGAGCGGAGCTCGAAGGGTACGTTGGGGCCGACCTCGCAGCTCACACGCCCATTGTCCCCAGAGTCCCGGTCCAGAACACTGATGACAGCGATGACGGTGCCTGGTGGGGCATCCTCCAGCACAGGCGTGGACACAGAGGTGAGGGTCACCTCTGGCGCATTGTCGTTTACATCGAGGAGGTGCACAAGCACCCGGCAGTGCACGGCGACAGCCGAGGGTCCACGGTCCTTGGCTTGCACATAGAGCTCGTGGAGGCTTGCCCGCTCATAGTCAAGGGGGCCTTTCAGCAGCACCTGCCCGCTTCGGGGCTCTACGTGGAAGAGCTCCCGGACGCGTGGTGGTGCATGCCCGCTGAAGGAGTACTCGATTTCCCCGTTGGGGCCCTCGTCCAGATCCGTGGCATTGAGCTGGATTACCAGGGTGCCAGCAGGGGCATCCTCAGGAAGGCTCACGCCATACGAGGGCTGGTCAAAGGCAGGCACGTTGTCATTTGCGTCCAGCACCGTGATGAGGATGTGAGCTGTGCCTGAGCGCTCGGGGACACCGCCGTCGAGAGCGGTGAGCAGCACCCGGTGCGTGCGTTGCTGCTCGCGGTCGAGGGCCCGCTCCAGCACCAGTTCTGCAAACTTGCTGGCATCACTGCGCGTCTGCACCTCGAGGGAAAAGAACCCGTTGGGGCTGAGCCGGTAGGTGTACACCGAGTTGGTACCCATGTCAGGATCCTGGGCACTCTCCAGTGGGAAGCGGGCACCGAGCACAGCAGACTCGGCCACCTCCAGCACGTACTCTTGCCAAGGGAAGGTGGGCGCGTGGTCATTGATGTCCAACACCTCCACCTCGACACGGTAGAGCTCCAGTGGGCTCTCGACGAGGAGCTGCAGATGGAGCAGGCATGTCCCCCCGGCCTCGCACACCTCCTCCCGGTCAATCCGCTCATTCACGAAGAGGATCCCATTCTCCGGGTTCACCTCCAGGTGCTGCCTGGCCCCAGCCCGTGACACAATGCGGAACCGCCGCGCCGACAAGGTGGACACATCCAGCCCCAGGTCCTCGCCCAGGTTGGCCACGAAGGCTCCGTGCTCCAGCTCCTCGGGCATGGCGTAGTGCAGCTGCCCACCCACCGGGCGCGGTGCCGGGGGCCCGGCCAGGAGGAGGAAGAGGAGGGAGAGGAGGAAGAGCTGCTCCCGCCCGGAGCCTGTCCCGGTCCCCATGGCCTCGCAGCCCTCCCGGGAACGCGGGGTCTCACCCGCGTCCTCCCTCGCCTTTGCTCGCCCCTTGCACTTCCGAAGAGTTTCGGGCTCCCGGGGGCGATGGGGGAGGGCCCTGCCCGCAGCGGGCCGGGGGGGGTGAGCCTTAACCCTTTCCCTGCTGGCCCCGAGGCGGGGGTTGCAATCCGAGCCCTGGTGCCACAGCAGAATGGGTC